GGCTCGCAGGTTCTGCGCGGTGCAAGGTTTTTTTATTTTTATTTTTAAAGATTTGTTTATTTGAAAGGTAGGTTTATAGAGAGAGAGGGAGAGACAGAGATCTTCCATCCATTGGGCTCATATGGCTGCAATGGCTGGGTTGGACCACAGGAAGCCAGGAGCCAGGAGCTTCTTCCAGGTCTCCCACGTGGGCGCAGGGGCCCAAGCACTTGTCCCATCTTCTACTGCTTTCCCAGGCGCATTAGCAGGGAGCTGGATCAGAAGTGGAGCAGCCGGGACCCGAACCGGCACCCATATGGGATGCTGGCACTGCAGGCGGCGGCTTCACCCACCACGCCGTGGCGCCAGCCCGTGGTGCAGCTTTGACGTTTTATTTATTTATTTTTTTAATATGTATGTATGTATGTATGTATGTATTTGAAAGTCAGAGTTACACAGAGAGATAAGGAGAGGCAGGGAGGCACAGAGAGAGAGAGAGAGAGAGAGAGGAGAGAGAGAGAGAGAGAGGTCTTCCATCTGCTGGTTCACTCTCCAGTTGGCTGCAACAGTCGGAGCTGTGCCGATCCAAAGCCAGGAGCCAGGAGCTTCTTCTGGGTCTCCCACGTGGGTGCAGGGGCCCAAGGACTGGGGCCACCTTCCACTGCTTTCCCAGGCTATAGCAGAGAGCTGGATGGGAAGTGGAGCAGCCAGGACTCGAACTGGCGTCCATATGAGATGCTGGCACTGCAGGCGGCAGCTTTACCCGCTATGCCACAGCGCCAGCCCCAGCTTTGCGTTTCAGTGAGATGCGGTTTTACCGCTTGTCCTTGGGGAGAGCCTGCTCCTCCGAGCGGCCTGGGTCTCCCTGCGGCCGTCCCCTCTGTGTGTTGTGGACTGAGCAGCTGGCATTTCCCAACACCTCCTTCCTGCCGGCCGGGGGCTGGGGGCAGGGCAGCCTGGGGAGCCGCCCCGTGGCCGGGTCCCTCACCCGTGCGGTTGAAGGCTTGCTCACGCATGCCCGGCCTCTCCCTGTGGCTCTGTCCTGCGTGTGGTGCCGGTGACCGGGCCCCCAGCTTCCTGGCTCTCCTCTGTGTCTCCGGCACCGCCTGGGCCCTGGCCAGCTGGTGTGACAATAGCCATTGTGCCTGCTGTGCCTCTGAGCGCCAGCCCGCTGGGGTCCGGTCTCAGCTTGTCGAGTTTGGGGACAGGGAGCCGCTGTCTGTTTAAACGTGTTGGAGCCAAGGATGTCAACTTTTGAACTCAGATTTCAGTTCGTTTTCGGCGAATTCTCCTGCTCTTACTAACAAGCCGCTGTCGATGTAGGTGTTCGCGAGGGAGCCGGCTTTCAGACTCTCACGTTTTTGTTTTTAAAGATTTATTTATTGATTTGAAAGGCAGGGTTACAGAGAGAGAGGGAGAGACAGAGACAGAGAGAGGTCTTCCATCTGCTGGGTCACTCCCTGGATGGCTGCAGCGGCCAGGACTTAGCCAGACTGAAGCCAGCAGCCAGGAGCTTCCTCTGGGTCTCCCACGCGGGTGCAGGGGTGCAAGGACTGGGCCCATCTCTCTGCTTTCCCAGGCCACAGCAGAGAGCTGGGTCGGAAGTGGAGCAGCCGGGACATGAACTGGTGCGGACGTGGGATGCCAGCGGTGCTGTCTCGGCTGTAACAGCGCTGGCCCCCTGTCTGAGTTTTGATTTGAGGGTTGGTTTTTGTGTATATGACCCAGAGTGATTTTTTATTTGTAAGTCTGAATCCTCAGTTCCGAAAGGCCTGGGGGTCCTGCTGATGTGCCTCCGGGCACTGTCTGGGCACCTTCTCACCGTGACAAGCTCTGCCGTGGCCGCGGCGCCAGGGTTGGGGTCAGAACGTGCATCTGTGTCTCTAGGATCGGGGCACAGCAGGGGAGGGGGTGCCCCGAGTCGTCCTGGCTCATCCGTCCGTCCGTTTATCCTGCTGAGGCCCTGGCCTGCCGGAGGGGCAGTGAGGTGGGCGGAGGCCAAGCCCCTCAGAGCTGGGGCGCAGGTGCACAGGGTGTCTCCTGGGGCGCAGCTCCTGCTGTCTGGCCTCGAAGCCCCCGACGTGACGGTCTCACTCTGACAGCTCTGCCCTGGTGTCTCCCCGCCCCCATCCGTCCGTCCGTCTGTCCGGTTTCCGAGTGGCCTCTCGGCTCCTGCCGTGTCTGGTCTTGGCTCTGGCTCGCAGGTGCTAACGGCCTGGTCTCTCTTGCAGCTTCGCCATTGTCCTGTGGGGCGTGCTCACGCAGAGGAAGCCGTTTGCAGGTGAGCGGCCGCCTGCTCCCGGGGGGGTGTGGGGTTGCTGTCTCGGGTGGGTGGGTGTGTGGGTGGAGTTGCTGTCTCGGGTGGGTGGGTGTGTGGGTGGAGTTGCTGTCTCGGGTGGGTGGGTGTGTGGGTGGAGTTGCTGCCTCGGGTGGGTGGGTGTGTGTGTGTGTGGGTGTGTGGGTGGGTGGGTGTGTGGAGTTGCTGTCTCGGGTGTGTGTGTGTGTGGAGTTGCTGTCTCGGGTGGGCGGGTGGGTGAGTGGGTGGGTGTGTGTGTGTGTGGAGTTGCTGTCTCGGGTGGGTGGGTGGGTGTGCGCTCTCCTGTGCCCTGTCCTCAGTCAGCTCCTGCAGTCCAGCTCCCCAGGCTGCTCTGGGCCTCGAAGCCAGCAGGGCCAGGTGGGCTGTCCAGTGTGTCCGTGTGGAGACCCTGGCCACGCGGGCCGACAGAGGGCCCTTATGGTGTCGCACACAGGATGGAGCCGGGTCCTTTCAGGGCAGTTTCTCGGGTAGTAATCTGTGCACAAGGCACACGCTGTCTGGTCGCTCAGTGTAGAGTTCTGTGGCGTTGAGTTCACGTACAGTGTCGTCCAGGCATTTCACTGTCGTCTTCCGGAACGTTCTGCACCCCAGAAGGGAGCCCCCACCCGCCCATTAAGCGGTCAGTCCCTGGCGACCACCCTTTGGTTCTCAGTCTCCGGATTTGCTTGTTCTAGATAGTTCCAGATAATTCTGTTGAACACTTGTTTATTAACTGCTGTAAAACACGCACCGGATTGTCCGTGTGAGCCACCTCAGGTGCAGCTCGGCTGTGCCCAGTGCCTGCCGGCTGTGCTGCCGTTTTTTTTTTTTTTTTTTTTCCCCCAAAGATTTATTGATTTACTTGAAAGGCAGCTGTGGAGAGAGAGACCTCCCACCTGCTGGTCACTCCCCAAGTGGCCACAGCAGTCTGGGCTGGGCCAGGCTGAAGCCAGGAGCCAGGAGCTCCATCCGGGTCTCCCACTGGGTGCAGGGGCCCGAGCCCTTGGCCAGCATGTGCTGTTTGCCAGGCCATGAGCAGATCAGCAGTGGACTAACACAGACCGGAACCGGCGCTCGTGTGGGATGCTGGCATAGTAGGTGGCACTTAACCCGCCGGGCCACGGTGAGCCCTTCTGCTGCCTCGCCTGGCTCCCGGCACCAGCGGGGAGCTGTGATGGCTCCGCACTTCCAACAGCCCCTCCGTCTTCGGGCTTTGACACCAGGACCTGTTTGTTGTAAAAATCCGGTACCTCTGTAGCTCCTGGAGAAGGCCCTTGTTTTGAGATGAGACCAAAAGCGTCCTTGGATGCGGGTGAGGCCGGAGCTCCCGCCAGATTCCGAGAGGCCCGGGGCTCGGCCAGCCCTGCTAGGATGGAGCTTCTCTCCGTCGTCATCTTACCAGGGAGTCTGGTGACCCCGCCCCGGTGCCGCGTTCTCCCCCACGGAGGTCTGTGGCCTGACCCCTCCCCACATAGTGGCGTGCCTGGCCGACGACCGAGTTGTGTGGTGGAAGTGATGGCCAAGGCAGGTGCACGGTGGGGACGGCGAGGGGACGGCCCTCTGCTTGCTGCCCCGTGGCGGGGGTCTGGGTAGGATCCTGGCGGCTCGCACAGGTCTGCCTTCCCTGGGCGTGTTTGGAGCCGTGGGGTGGGGAGGGCCACTGGGACAAGAGACTCGGAGGCCAGGGGGGCTCTGGGCTGAGCAGGAGGCGGGGCCTGGCGCACCGAGCCGGCCTCGACCCTTCCCAGGCAGGGCAGAAGCCGCGGCCACCACCCTGACAGAGGCCAGGTGTGCTGGCGACGGGGTGTGAAGGAAGACCGCGTGGCCCCTGGGTTGTGAACCAAGAGGGGATGGCCCCCTCGCACACCCCAGCCCTGGCATGGCACAGGGAGAGCCGGCGTCCTGGCCGCCGTGGCCTGGGCTGGGAACGGGAAGTGAGGAAGGTTTCTCTCCCACCGGGAGAATTGGGTCCCCTTGGGTGCTGCACCAGGTGATTCTGGGGTTTAGGAGTGTTGCCTCCATGGCAGGTGATGGTCACGTGGAGCACGCCCCAGGATCTCTGTGCCACACGGGGGGTCTCTGTGTCTGCTGCGTAGGGTCTCTGTGTCTGCCACGCCAGGGTCTCTGTGTCTGCCACGTGGGGTCTCTGTGCCACACTGAGGGTCTCTGTGTCTGCCACTTGGGGTCTCTGTGTCTGCCACGCTGGGGTCTCTGTGTCTGCCACACCGGGGGTCTCTCTATGACACCGGGGGTCTCTGTCTGCCACACCGGGGTGTCTATCACACCGGGGGTCTCTGTCACACCGGGGGTCTCTGTGTCTATCATACCGGGGGTCTCTGTGTCTGCCACGCCGGGGTCTCTGTCTGCCACACCGGGGGTCTCTCTATCACACCGGGGGTCTCTGTGTCTGCCTCGTGGGGTCTCTATCACGCCGGGGTCTCTGTGTCTGCCACGCTGGGGGGTCTCTCTGTCACACCGGGGGTCTCTATCACACCGGGGTCTCTGTCTGCCACACTGGAGTCTCTGTGTCCGCCACGTGGGGTCTCTGTGTCTGCCACGCTGCCTGTGGCTGGCAGAGCCGCGCGCTCAGTGTGGGGGGCTCTGAGAGGGCGCGGCCGACCCCGCCCTGCCCTGCCCCGGCCCCAGAGCCCTGACCTGTGCGCCTTTGCCTTGCAGACGAGAAGAACATCCTGCACATCATGGTGAAGGTGGTGAAGGGCCACCGGCCCGCGCTGCCGCCCGTCTGCCGGCCCCGGCCCCGCGCCTGCCGGAGCCTCATCCGCCTCATGCAGCGGTGCTGGCACGAGGACCCGCGGGCCCGGCCCACCTTCCAGGGTGAGCGCGGGGGCGTCCGGGGGCGCGGCTGCGGGCATCCCGGGACACAGAGCTGGCGACCAGGACGGGCCCTGCACACGGGGTTCGCCCGGGAGCCGCGTCTGTGTGGGGCCTCGCGACACCAGGGCTGGGCTGGGGCAGCTCGTCCCGAGGGGTCAGCTCCGGCTTGGTTTGCCGCCCAGGGGAGCCCGCGGGACTGGACGCCTGGTGATCCAAGTTCAGGTTCCACTTTGGGTGCTGAGGGATGGACACGGCCACTGGCCCGAGTCCTTCCTACCTACGCCGCTTTGGAAAATTGCCAAAACTTCTACTGCGGCTGTGTCTTTGGGAGGGGACGTGACCAGGCGAATCTCCTGGCGTGGAAGACCTGTGGCGGGGGAGAAGATTGAGTGGGCGCAGGGCTCGCAGGCCGGTGCCAGTGGCTCGGCGCAGGGCGTCTGGCAGGTGGGGGCCCCCGAGGGCGGCTCCTGCTCTGTGTGGTGAGGCCTCGCCAGCGCGGGGAGCCTGGCCGGGGTCAGGCTGCAGGGCCCCGGCTCGGCCTCCGCCCTGCGGCGGCCTTGGCTGGCAGAGTTGACGGGCAGTCATCCGAGTGATGCACTTTTGGTTGTTTTCCCAAAGAAATCACCTCCGAGACCGAGGAGCTGTGCGAGAGGCCCGACGACGAGCTGGGAGACGCGGCGCCCGCGCCTGCCGGGAAGGCCCCCGTGGATCCCGCCGGCCAGGTAGCCGGGTCTTGTTTGCTGGGTTCACCGGTGCACTTGCCACGCCGCCTGCTCTGCAGGTGCCCCGGCCAGCCGGCACTGCCCCCTCACGTCCGGTCCTGTGTGGGTCCCACAGGGGCTCCAGGTTCCTGTCTGTGAGCCGGGCGCAGCATGCGGCCGGCTTGGGTTTCAGTGGGCTCCTGTCGCCCGCACTTTGAGCCGTGGGGGCCCAGAGCCTCCAGCCCCTGTGCCGTGGCCTGGAGCGTGGAGGGGGGTGGGGCTGGGTTTTTCTGCAGCCCTGGCTTGGGGTTCTGGTCACTTCTTTTTATAAAGATTCACTTTATTTCTTTGAAAGGCAGAGTTAGAGAGAGAGCGAGGAAAATAGGAATTTCCCATCCGCTGGTTCACTCTCCAAATGGCTGCAACAGCCGGGGCTGGGCCGGATGGGAGCCAGCAGCTTCTTCCGGTCTCCCAAGGACTTGGCCGTCCTCCGCTGCTTTCCCAGGCCGTTGGCAGGGAGCTGGATGGGAAGCGGAGCAGCCAGGATGGGCTATGGGATGCTGGCGTCGCAGCCGGCGGCTTCCTGCTGTGCCACAGTGCCGGCCCCGTGTGGTCACTTGTTGGCTGCTCGCGAGTGGTTTGTGCTGCGTAGGTTATGTAAGATGTGATAGAAGCTCGGAGTGCCGGGGCTCGCCAAGTACCTGTGCGGTGCGAGGCTGGCACGGAGCTGCACCAGGAAGCCGACGAGTGAGCTTTAAAACGTGCCGTCTGGCGTGGGGCCAGGTCCCCGGGTTGGTGGCGTGAGGTCGGAGATAAGTGCACCTGTATGGGCACTCACTTCCCAAACACACGGGCGTGCCTGCGAGGGGCAGCCCGGCCCCGATACAGGCGGGCCAGGCGGCCAGCACGTGGCTCCATGCAGCAGACCGGGCAGGTCCCAGCGAGGGGGCTTTGGGGCAGACAGGTGTAAAGCAGGGAGAGTCGGGGACCCCGTCGGCGCTCGTCCCTCCCCACGCGGGCTCGTGGAGCTGCCCATCAGGACCTGCCCGGAGGGGCTGGCGCGCCACGCCACGGCCAGTTAGGCTGCCACCGCCACACCGGCTTCTCGTGAAGCAGCACTGGTCCCATCCAGCCCCCTGCTCACGCACCTGGGAGAGCAGCGGAGGACGGCCCAGGTGCTTGGGCCCCTGCACCCACGTGGGAGACCCGGATGAAGCTCCTGGCTCCTGGTCCCAGTGTAGCTGATGCAGTGTTGGGGGAGTGACCCAGCAGGTGGAAGCTCTCTCCCTCCCGTCTAGATATTCAAATAATCTCCACTTTTTTTGTTTTTCTTAAAGACCTTTTCAGAGGGTCCGTGGGGGTGTGTCAGGCTGGATCACCATGTTGTCCCCATAGCTGGGCCCTTGGCTACACACAGCCCACGAGCCACACTCAACAGCTCCAGGGAGTGGGTGTGGGGGAGGGGTTTGGCAAAGGAGGGGCCCAGTGCCCTGTCTCTGCTGTGTGACGGCTGTGGTCGGCCAAGGCCCCTCCCCGCCACGCATGGCCCTGCTTCGTGTTCGCATCCTGCCTCTAGCGTGGACGCTGCTCCGTGCGACACCACCGGGCAGATGGCATCCGGGGTGCCCGGTGCTGGGTTCCCCGTTCCACGTCCCTGTGCTGCGTGGACCCAGCAAGGTCTCCCGGGCTGCGTGTCCGCGGTGTCTGCACCGCCCTCCCGTCCTCACCGCCCCCTCCAACCTCGCAGGCGGCGCCCGCGTCCACGCAGCTCCAGCGCGCCTCCGCCCCCGCCTTCGACAAGGACTGCAGCCTCTCGGAGCTGCTGTCGCAGCTGGACTCCGGCATCTCGCAGACGCCCCAGGGCCCCGAGCAGCTCAGCCGCAGCTCCTCCGAGTCCAAGCTCCCGGCGTGCGGCAGCGGCAAGCGGCTCTCGGGCGTGTCCTCCGTGGACTCGGCCTTCTCCTCCAGGGGCTCGCTGTCGCTGTCTTTCGAGCGGGAGCCTTCCACGGGCGGTGAGCGTGAGGGCGGCCTTGGGGGGCGTGGGGCCCCGTGTTCGCGCCATGGGTGCCGACCCCAGGGCCCGAGGTGGACTCCTCGCCTGCGGGCCAGCTCTCGCGGGGGCTGGTGGAAGAGGGTGCGGGCTGCAGAGCTGCCAGGGAGGCATGCCACCTTCCCCAAGGACAGGCGTGTTCTAGAACCTTCTTGGCTATGGTCCTCCCCGGGGACGTCTCACAGGCCCCACTCAGGCTGCCAGCCTGCAGCCCTGCCTCCTTAGCCCCGCCCCTCACCCCCCACCCCGTCCCCTCGAGGGGACCCCTTCATCCCGGGTGGGGGCCCAGTCCCTGGAGGGTCATTGTAAGAAACAGTCTCGTGACAGCTCCTGGACGGGGGCTGGCCTTGTGGGGTCGGCGGGGGGGCTGCCGACCCGGAGCAGGGCACCCGGGCGGTGCATCTGCGCAGGGAGAGCCGTGCAAGCCTCGTCTGCGGGAGGGGCTGCCTGGGTCCCGCGGGCTGCGCCCCGTCCTGCTCGCCCAGCCCCAGGCTGGCTCCGGGTTCTCCACTCGGGCCTGGCGGCTGGCGGGAGCCCCACCGAGCACCTGGGTCCTGCCCGGGTCTCCTGGTTCGATCGCACACAGATAAAGCGAGACGAGCACCGCGGGGCCCAGTGGGACGGCCAGGCCGCCGGTCCCCGACGGCGCAGGGCGTGTGTCCCGCCGTGAGCGGCCCTGACGCTGCCTCTCCTCTGCCCGCAGACCTGGGCGCCACGGACGTGCAGAAGAGGAAGCTGGTGGACGCCGTGGTGTCCGGGGACACGAGCAAGCTGATGAAGGTGCTGCAGCCGCAGGACGTGGACCTGGTGCTGGACGGCGGCGCCAGCCTGCTGCACCTGGCCGTGGAGGCCGGCCGGGAGGAGTGCGTCAAGTGGCTGCTGCTCAACAACGCGAACCCCAACCTGACGAACAGCAAGGGCGCCACGCCGCTGCACGTGGCCGTGGAGCGGCGCGTGCGGGGCGTGGTGGAGCTGCTGCTGGCCCGCAAGAGCAGCGTCAACGCCAAGGACGAGGACCAGTGGACGGCGCTGCACTTCGCCGCGCAGAACGGGGACGCGGGCAGCGCGCGGCTGCTGCTGGAGAGGAGCGCCTCGGCCAGCGAGGTGGACTTCGAGGGCCGCACGCCGCTGCACGTGGCCTGCCAGCACGGCCAGGAGGACATCGTGCGCATCCTGCTGCGGCGCGGCGTGGACGGGGCCCTGCAGGGCAAGGACGCGTGGGTGCCGCTGCACTACGCCGCCTGGCAGGGCCACCTGTCCATCGTCCGGCTGCTGGCCAAGCAGCCCGGGGTGAGCGTGAACGCCCAGACGCTGGACGGGAGGACGCCGCTGCACCTGGCCGCCCAGCGGGGGCACTACCGCGTGGCCCGCGTCCTGCTGGACCTCCACTCCGACGTCAACGTGTGCAGCCTGCGGGCGCAGACGCCCCTGCACGTGGCGGCCGAGACCGGGCACACGAGCACCGCCAGGCTGCTCCTGCACCGCGGCGCCAGCAGGGAGGCCGTGACCGCCGAGGGCTGCACCGCCCTGCACCTGGCGGCCCGCGGCGGACACCTGGCCACGGTCAGGCTGCTGGTGGAGGAGAAGGCCGACGTGCTGGCCCGCGGGCCCCTGAGCCAGACGGCGCTGCACCTGGCCGCCGCGCACGGGCACTCGGAGGTGGTGGAGGAGCTGGCGAGCGCCGAGCTCATCGACCTGGCCGACGCGCAGGGCCTCAGCGCCCTGCACCTGGCCGCCCAGGGCAGGCACGCTCAGACCGTGGAGACGCTGCTCAGGCACGGCGCCCACATCAACCTGCAGAGCCTCAAGTCCCAGGGCGGCCACGGCCCCGCGGCCACGATCCTGCGGCGCAGCAAGACCTAGCCCGCTGCCCGGGAGGCTGGGGTCTGTGTGGGCCTCTTGTCCTGTGGTCGTGAGCAGACCTAGCCCGCTGCCCAGGAGGCTGGGGGTCTGTGCGGGCCTCTTGTCCTGTGGTCGTGAGCCGCGTGGGGGCCGGAAGGTGCCGGGCTGGGCGCTCGGCTTGCCCTGCTGTGGCTTTGCCAGAACATGGACCTAGCGCACGGCGAGGGGCGTGGGCGCTGGCCGGGGGCGCGTTGACCAAAGCCAGCCGGGACACTTGTGGCCACGGACCCACCTGCCCGTCAGGGTGCCTGGGGTCGGAGGACGATGGGTCCCAATGGTTTCCTGCTGGCGCGGCCCTGGGGTGGCCGCCCCAGCGCCCGAGGGGAGCCGCCTCCCACTGCCCACCGTGAGGGAAGAGGTGTGGGAAGAACTGTCTCGGAAGGTTCCTGGTTTACGGAATCCCTTGGAGTAGGGGACCAGAGAGCAGCTGTCGCCGGATACCCGGATGACACTGGTTCCCATCGCCCGGGGGTATCGCCATGCGGGACGAAGCACCAGGGCTGACCTTAAAGCCGTCTGCCCGATCGCCCACCCCGTGGTGAGTCCACTTGCTGTGGGTCATTTCCTGTCACCTGAAACAGCTTTGGACCCCGGGACCACGTGTGGGATTCGCTGAAGGCTCCCGTGCAGCCTGGGCCCTGGACCGAGAGCCGTGTGCTCAGCTGGGCGCCCTCTCATCCGCCGTCTTCTAGTGCTTGATCTGTGGCCAAGTGGGGGCCTGGATGGAGGGGGAGGGGGGCCTGGATGAAGGGGGAGGGAGCCCGGATGGAGGGGGAGGGACTGCTTTCTGACCCACTTTGCCAACAGCTGTCCCGTGCATCCTGGCCGGGCAGGTGGGGCGTGGCCCGAGGCACCCGGGAGCCGGGCGGAGTGGGAGATGGGGCCGAGTCTCTTGGCCGTGCAGTCACACGGGGCCTCCTGACCACGTACTCGGGCCAGTGCTCTGCAGGACGTGGCCTGGTGCGTGGCACAGAGAAAGGTGCTGTGGATGCTCTCGTGAGCCCGTGGGCGGGGCTGTGCGTCCCTGCAACAGGAAGTCCCCGCCCCGTGCAGCCTCGCGAGGCCAGACAGCACTCTGAAAGATGTCAATAAAGCTAAGGACTGGTCTGTTGTTTTGAAGTTGGTGAGACTTGGTTTTTCTTGAAAATGAGCTCAGGTTGTCTGGCTTCTGCAAACCAGAGGCTTGAGGCCCAGGGACGCCCTGCTGGGATACGTCCCTGCCCTGGCTCCGTCTCACTGGGCTAGGGAAGGGCAGCCTCGAGCGCCCCGCTCCTGAGCCCCCGCCCTCCACGCTGGGACCCCGCAGGAGGCAAGCCTGCCCCGATGGAAGCCGCCCCCAGCACCTGCCTTGTTCTTTAAGTTTGTTTATGCGACAGGGGGCTCCCCCCAGCCATGGTTCACTCCCTGGTGCCCTCTGTGCCTGGGGACCAAAGTCAGGAGCCGGGACCTGAGCCAACGCCGCTGCTCCCAGGTCGCCGGAGCCGGAGCCGGAGCTGGTGTCAGGCCCCGGTACTCGGTTGTGGTGTGCAGGTGTCCTGAGCGGCCATAGCCTGCTGGGCCAAGCTCCCGCCCTCACTTCCTTAAGTGCTTGTCCCTGGTGCTGTGGTGCACCTGCCACCTGCGTCCTCTGCCCCCCCCCCCCCCGGTGGAGCAGGTCGCAGGCAGGGGGCCCAACGGACCACCAGGGATGCGATTCCTGGGGCCGGGTTCCCTCCCGGGAAGCCAAGCAGGGAGCTCCCAGGTCTGGAGCAGCACCTCGGAGTCCTGGAAGGTTCTGGAAAGTCCTGGGAGTGCCTGCAGAGGAGACTTGCAGTGGCTCACAGCCACAGTGGGTGGGTCGGGGTGAGGGTTACTGGCTCGTTCAGGAGCAGGGAGCCCCTGGCCTAGCTGAGGATGGACGGGGTGGCTCCATCGCTGAGCTGAGCCAGGCAGGGGGAGGCCCAGGAGAGCCCCGCGGGGCCTAGGACAGTGGCCATGCAGCTGGCGGGGACAGAATCCTAGGTGAGCCAAACGTTGGGTGCGCACTGCCCTTGCTCCGGGGACCGCCTCGGCCGGCGTCCGCAGTGGCAGCACACCCTAGACCTCCCCGCTAAGTGCCTGGCCCCTGCGGAGGCACTGACTAGCAGGTGGTTTTCCGGCTGACGGATGCCCGTGCACACTGGAGGCACTGACTAGCAGGTGGTTTTCCGGCTGACGGATGCCTGTGCACACTGGAGGGAGGAAGCTTAGGGAAAAGCTGCTGGCTCCGGCGGTCGGCAGCCGCGACCTCACACGCTCCGTGTCTGCAGCCAGAGTGCAAGGCCGCAGCTGCGGCTGGCTCTGCAGAGACCCCCCCCCCACCGGTAAGTGTCGTGCCCGCCCTAGAGAGGGGCTCGGGGGCGGGGGGACCCTGCCCTAGAGGGAGGGGCTCAGGGGGACCATGCCCTAGAGAGAGGGGGTCGGGGGGACCCTGCCCTAGAGAGAGGGGCTCAGGGGGACCCTGCCCTAGAGAGAGGGGGTCAGGGGGACCCTGCCCTAGAGAGGAGCTCTGGGGCCGGGGGATCCTGCCCTAGAGAGGGGAGCCAGGGGGACCCTGCCCTAGAGAGAGGGGGTCGGGGGGACCCTGCCCTAGAGAGGGGAGCCAGGGGGGACCCTGCCCTAGAGGGAGGGGCTCAGGGGGACCCTGCCCTAGAGGGAGGGGCTCAGGGGGACCCTGCCCTAGAGAGAGGGGGTCAGGGGGACCCTGCCCTAGAGAGAGGGGGTCGGGGGGACCCTGCCCTAGAGAGAGGGGGTCGGGGGACCCTGCCCTAGAGAGGAGCTCGGGGGCCGGGGGATCCTGCCCTAGAGAGGGGAGCCAGGGGGGACCCTGCCCTAGAGAGAGGGGGTCAGGGGGACCCTGCCCTAGAGAGGAGCTCGGGGGCCGGGGGATCCTGCCCTAGAGAGGGGAGCCAGGGGGGACCCTGCCCTAGAGGGAGGGGCTCAGGGGGACCATGCCCTAGAGAGAAGGGGTCGGGGGGACCCTGCCCTAGAGAGAGGGGGTCGGGGGGACCCTGCCCTAGAGAAAGGGGGTCAGGGGGACCCTGCCCTAGAGAGAGGGGGTCGGGGGGACCCTGCCCTAGAGAAAGGGGCTCAGGGGGACCCTGCCCTAGAGGGAGGGGCTCAGGGGGACCCTGCCCTAGAGAGAGGGGGTCAGGGGGACCCTGCCCTAGAGAGAGGGGGTCGGGGGGACCCTGCCCTAGAGAGAGGGGGTCGGGGGGACCCTGCCCTAGAGAGAGGGGGTCGGGGGGACCCTGCCCTAGAGAAAGGGGCTCAGGGGGACCCTGCCCTAGAGGGAGGGGCTCAGGGGGACCCTGCCCTAGAGAGAGGGGGTCGGGGAGACCCTGCCCTAGAGAGAGGGGGTCGGGGGGACCCTGCCCTAGAGAGAGGGGGTCGGGGGGACCCTGCCCTAGAGGGAGGGGCTCAGGGGGACCCTGCCCTAGAGGGAGGGGCTCAGGGGGACCCTGCCCTAGAGAGAGGGGGTCAGGGGGACCCTGCCCTAGAGAGGAGCTCTGGGGCCGGGGGATCCTGCCCTAGAGAGGGGAGCCAGGGGGGACCCTGCCCTAGAGAGGGGAGCCAGGGGGACCCTGCCCTAGAGAGGAGCTCGGGGGCCGGGGGATCCTGCCCTAGAGAGGGGAGCCAGGGGGGACCCTGCCCTAGAGGGAGGGGCTCAGGGGGACCCTGCCCTAGAGAGAGGGGGTCAGGGGGATCCTGCCCTAGAGAGGGGAGCCAGGGGGGACCCTGCCCTAGAGAGGGGCTTAGGGGCTGGGGGACTCCCGTGAACCTAATCACATCCGGCCCAGGTGTTGCCAGTTGGAACCGAGCCCAGAGGTGTCAACAAACCGTGGTCCCCTGGGGCAGCCATGAAGAACAAGGTCCCCACGCGGGTGGGTGTCTCCTTCCTCCTCCCGACCTGCCTGCACCAGCTGTGCTACTGGAAAAACGAGCCTGGCCGAGGCGGCAGCTGGCCAGGGCCGTGGGTGCGGCTGCTCAGAGAAAGGCTGGGGCTGCTTCCTCTGTGGGCTGCAGCCGTGGGGACTCCACGCTGAGCCCCTTCCCGTGCACGTCCATCTCTACCTAATGCCTGCCCTGCCAAGCCCACTGGCCCCCCGAGGAGGTTTCTCAAGCCGATGGGGCCGGTCTGGATGTTGCCACCTGTGGGAGCCTCTGACCCGGGGCTGGTGGGAGGAGTCAGTTTGGGGTGGGCTGTGCAGCACTGGGCACCCAGGGAGCTCCTCGTCCACGAGACAGGACGGCACTGAGGACCAGCGTTAGCAAACTCGCAGTAACTGGGCGGTGCTCGCTGCTGATGCAGCAGTGAGAAGGATGTGTGTCTGCAGCAGGGGTGAAGGCACGGACTCCGGGGAGGAGGAGGAGAACGGGATGGAAGAGGGGTGAGAGTCCAGTGGTGGACACAGCTCTGCCCGCCCCTCAGAGTCAGGTGTGCGTGGACCCCGTGGCCCAGCCGTGCTGTCTGCCCACCCCTCACCAGGGGGCACACATCAGAGTCAGGTGTGCGTGGACCCCGTGGCCCAGCCGTGCTGTCTGCCCACCCCTCACCAGGGGGCACACATCAGAGTCAGGTGTGCGTGGACCCCGTGGCCCAGCCGTGCTGCAGTGGGCTTGGGGGAAGCACTGCTGTGCCGTGGGCATCCCCTGTGGTCACTGCTGTGCCATGGGTGCCTCCTTGTCCTTTGCATTCCCTCTTTCAAATCTCCACTTCCTGTTTGTGTTCCATTCTTGCACCTCCTGCTGACGCTGCAGAATTTGCCTCTGAGCTGGAGGTGCTGAGCTGAGCCGGCTCTAGCGAGACAGCCTGGCCTGCAGGTGAGCTGTCCACTGGGGTTTTCATTTCATTCACTGTGCTTTTCATTTCCAAAAGCAGTTCTACTGCATTCTTTCTGAATCGTGTTACCGTTTTTAATTGGTGTCTTATGTTTGTTTCCTTGTTTTATATCTATAATTATTTTATTTTAAAGATTGATTTATGTGAAAGGCAGAGTTGCAGAGAGAAATCTTCCACCCGCTGGTTCTCTCCTCACACGGCCGCAGCCGGCACGGCTGGGCCAGGCCTTTAAAGCCAGGAGCCAGAGCTCCATCCGGGTTTCCCAGGTGGGTGGCAGGGGTGCCCGTACCTGGGTCGGCCTCTGCTGCCTCCCCAGGTGCATTGGCAGGGAGCTGGATTGGAAGCAGAGCAGCTGGGACTTGAACTGGTGCTCTGATGTGGTCTCTGGTGTTGCGGGTTCATTAACCCGCTCTGCCACAATGCTGGCCCTACAATAATTGTAAACGTGCCTCTTTAAGGCCATCATCCGATAGCCCCGTTACCTAAGGCTCCCAGCAGTCTGGTGCCTCGTTCTTGGGGGCTGCCAGCCGCGTGGCCCTCGCACGCTGTGTGACGTCGGGCTGTGAGGTCACTGCAGCGGCCTCTGCCCATGGGGACCTTTTGCACCTGGGCATTTTACTGAGAGATTTTGTGTTTGTGAGACTCCGCTGTAGTGCCGACCTAGGCTCATGTTCTGCCAGTGTCGTGGCCCTGTGGGTCCTGGGTTATGCGGGTGATGGCGATTCAAACCCCAGACCTGAAGAGGACGGGGCTATCAATACCAGTTCTCAGGAGGGACGTTTTCCCCCAGCAGAGTGCGACAGACATGCTTTGGGTCACTGGCCTTTGCTGTTGGGGGAGGGGGGCACGTCCCTCGGGGGGCTCTTCGAGGGTTCACTTCCCTTACCCTTCTTGCCTGGCCTGACTCTCTGGGCTGTTCCAGGCCGAGGGCCGGCTGGGGTTCACTGTGCCAGTCTCTGTTGGCCTCTGGCACGTGGCCCCTGGAGACCGGTCTCCCTTCCTCCTAGTTTAGCTCATTGTGTGGAAGGATTCCCCGTGTGCTCCAACGTTTCTGGCCGTGCAGCCACGATGTTTTCATGCTTAGTCTACACAGTTGTCAGGGAAAAAAAATCCCCCTCCAAGCCAGAACTGAGCGTGCAGCCAAATGAGGAAACAGGGCTGGGGGTAGCGGTGCCGACCTGGACGTAATGACAGACAGCGAGTTCTGATTTCACTGCCAGCGAGGGTTGTGCTGTGGGGTGGGCAGGTGTTGGGAAAG